GCAAGCGAAAATCAGCAGATTACTACATTATCGAGGTTTTTAACAACATTATTTCTACAATGTTGGGCACACATTTTGAGACAAGACGTAAAAAATCTAAAAGACAGAGGTCCCTGAAACTTACGCTAAGGTTGTTGGTCAGGTGAATAGGTGAAAAATATTCACATTCACACCAGACAGAAAATCAAGAAAATAATTATGACAACAAGAGCAGGAAGACGAACTGGCTTAATTAATTCTACACATTCCAATGGCTCTGCATCGTTCTTATTGGATAAGTGCCTCTGATTGACGACCAACATGGCTTAGTTCTTTTGGTTGATGACCCAGTTTCAGGTAAGAGCAATTGTTCACAAGGTACAGTCACAAGTTCACATGTATTCTAAGTTTTCATAGAACTACATTTGAAAACTTCATGTTGCAGGTGAAGACGTTCACTTAATTAACTTTAATATTATAAGTTGTATTATACTAAACATTTTCAGTACCGTAAACAGGGGCTTGCTTCTTTAGAAAGAAAAATATAAATGTATTATAAGATGTATTATGTTGTTCGGTATGCTTCTACACCCAGACGAGTTGTACCACCACTGGTAAAATCCAGTAAACTTCTCCATGCACAGGCCCACATGTCAAAAGAAGTAGAACCAGAAAAGAAAAGATCCTGTACCGAGATTAGACAAGGCCCTACATTGCGAGGTCTGCTCAAAAACATGCCCGAGCCAGTCACAGTATTTGGCGCAATACTGTTCAGGGCCAATGCCCGATATAAATAGTTTTTAATTAATGATCGGTCAGAATATTATTGTATGAGGATTTGGTTTTCACTGGTGAGCAGCAAACAAGGATGGCAAGTATACAAGAGGAGAAGAAAAGGATCGTAATTCGTATTACAAGGAGGATCCAGAAGATCCAATAGCGCATGTGTAATTTATGTTTGAGATTTCATTATATCTTTCCTTGCACTTTTTCGTATGATATTATTTATTTGTTTATATTTAAGCCACTCTACTACCAGTTCAGCATTATGTTTAACACAAGAGGCCCGATTAAAGCGGGCTAGCGATTAAGCGAGAATCGGCTCGTGAATATTGGGGCAAAAGAATGGACTTGCTTCATGTACCTTAATGAACAACATTAAAGAAGGAACTGACTTTAAATATAGGATTAACAAAGAAATTTAAAACACGATGGTACTATCATCGCCAAAGCTTCAAAAACCCTAAGTACCGATTGAGTACTTATACTATTACTAGAAAACCCGTGGTCACAGGGAGGAAGCTAATAGTATTTTTTGTTAGTAAGTTTAAGTCGCGTCAAAAATATTCTACACAACCGAAAATACAGCCAATTAAAATGTTGCTCGTACTAAACACAGCGTAATATCAACAAAACCGATCAAAATGACGTTAAAACAATCATTGCACGTGCACGTGCGTATAACAATCCTTGTTACCATGGTAACTACGCAACGTTTGATGTAATTGGATTTGTTTACATAATTTGCACGTGGGCGGTCGTACATACATTCTACATTCTACATTCTACAGAAATAATTCTCTGAATTATAATAGAGATAATACTATTTAAAATTTGCTAATAGCGTTATCATATTTTATAATTGTGTGCATATATTTATATAATTTGATTGTAATTAAAGATTTTAAGGCGTTAGTGCCGAGTAATGGCTCCGGGTGGTGCTCTAACAAAAGCAATATGGGACCTCAAAGAGAAAAACATTGATTATACCATTATAGCTTTGTTCCCGTTTAATTTGCTTACGTGTCGAATTTGTGAGCTCTGTTATCAGTAAAGTTTATTAGTTGATAAAGTGTAAAGGGGGGCCTTATGGCTACTTTACCAAGATGCAGTGAAACAGATTGGAAGAACAGAGGCGGTCTTTCATTCTTTGTACAAGAAGATGGGTCGAAAAGATCATGTTGAGTTCACTGAGGAGCTGGTATTTACAAATGGAGGAACGAAAAAGGATTTGTCATCGTTTTTGTTCAAAGTTGTCAATTGTTCGCTAGACTTGATCAAGTTGCTGAAAAGTGGATGCTTAGAAGTAGATTCGTTGAAATCGGAAGCGAAACATGCGATCAAAGAATTAGCTGAGGTCCAGAGTGAGCTACTGGTTAGTAAAAGGGAACAGATAGATATTCTTCAATCTGGTATTCAGACTACTTTGAAGAAAGAACTGAAATCATACAGTGAGGCTGTTAAGAAGACAACTGTTGAATCGATCACTTTGAAGAAAATTCAAACCGCTGTGAAAGACATTGTAGAAGATAGGAGTAAAAACCTCATGATATTCGGTTTGGAGGAAGCAGCGGATGAAGATATTCACTCTACAGTCAAGGAAGTATTCGTGTCGATTGAAGAGAAACCCTTTTTTAAGGCAGAGAGGATTGGGAAACAGCATAGTAGTGACATTTCCAGGCCTGTCAAGGTCGTATTGGACAGTTCAGCCGCATTGACAGATCTTTTGAGAAAGTCAAAGGAGCTCAAAAGCACGATTTTCAAAAATGTTTATCTGACACCTGATCGAACCCTGGAGCAGAGAGTAGAACATCGAAAACTGGTAGCAGAATTGAGAGAGAAAGCTCGAGAAACGCCAAATGAAAATCATTTTATTAGGAAAGGTGCAGTTTGCAGTCAAGTTAAATCAGTAGAAGATAAGGACACTGTCTCGACAAGTTCAGCAATGAAAAGTAGCAGTGCAGGAGTAACTAAGAAAAAGGAAAAGAAACCCAGACCACTTTTACCGCATCATATAGCGTGTAATCGTCGACCACCACTAGGATACGTGTCACCAGTCACAACTGACTCATCAGATAATGATTATTGACAATTAAAATTTTGGTCCCCCCTTGTTCAAATTTGTTATTATAACTGGGTTGATTTCTAAGTGATAACGCTGCTTATCTATTAACAGCAACACATTTTCTGGATTACATGACCGATAAGAAGTTTGTTAAGTAGATACATACAACGGTTTTAATATTATTACATGACACATTGTAGGATTGAATTAATATTGCTATTAAAATGCTCATTGTAGCCATATATTTTAGATTTTCATCATCATACCATTATAGTAGAGACTGGAAAATCATCACTAAATCAAATAGTTATATGGCAGGGGCGGGGCACTGGAATTTACCGTTATCTGAAGATTAGTTCCAGAATTCCAACGACCAAGATAATCAACGTCATATAGTGTAAAGTGGTAAGCTGGTTATAGCGGGGACTTATGCCGGGGAAGAAAAAGAGGAACAACACGAAGTTGACGTGGGTTCCGGGTTAAGTTCTCGACGCAACGCGATGTATTACGCAGCGGATTTTGATGTCCGCCGCCCACGTAGTGAACGCAGATATAGAGGTCTGCAATAGAGACCAGCGCCTGATCTCGGGCGCGAAACCCTTGAAGGCATCATGTAGCCTCCAGGCTCGACAAACCCCGACAAACCCCGACAAACCCCGACATATCCCGACAAACCCCGACAAACGGGGTTTGTCGGGGTTTGTCGAGGGGTTTTGCCTCGGGCCCACCGGCTACATGAGGCCTTATTGGATAGTGTTTTTCCACGTAAAGCTTGATGACTCGGTCTCGGCTTTTTGTTGGGAGACTCAAAAAAAAAAAAGAAAAGCCTCCAGGCTCGACAAACCGGAAACCCCGTCAAACCCCGTCAAACCCTGACAAACCCCGACAAACCCCGACAAACCCTGACAAATCCCGACAAACCCCGACGTGTCAAGATATGTCGTATCATGTCGGGCCCACCGGCTACATGATGCCTGACAGAATTAACCTCATTTCCCAATAACCAAGTGCCTGTATTAGCTAACTATTCAAAATAACATATTTTAGGGCTATGATTGGTAGATCAACCATCAGATAATGAGTTGAAAGGGTTTTGAAGACACCTCACAGTAGAATAGAGGGATGTTATTCTGAGTGTGACAAAGTTACCCAAATATTGCCTTGTAACCGTTCGATCCGTGCCCTTTAACCAATGTTGTATCATAATTGTTAGATTGACCTTATCTACTATATTTCAGACCAAGGAATGATAATTAGACAACTGCAGTTAACTAAGTCACACAAAATGTGACATTTGAAACATTATAGTACCTAACAACAATATATTTTCTTTCTGAGCATTGCATATGGGAGTATGGGTTACGTGGCTAATGTTCAGAACTTCTGAACGTGCTAGGTTAATAGATGTCAAAATTAAGCCACTATCGTCGAAAACGCTATTATTTTTGTTTACCAATATCCTCAAACTCAAATGAACGTGTCCTTATAACCTCAAATACTTTATATTCTAACTCAAATTTAGTTTCATAACTTTGAATAAAAACCCAACAAAACTAAAAACTAAACCACATTATATATGTGGTTTAGCTTTAGTTTTATTTAAGATTCACATATTATGTGAATATATTCACCTGTTTTATAAGGGTCTGTATTTCAGTGTGTTTCTCAGGTATCTGGTCAGAGCCGTTATTTTTACAGTCCACCAACAACATCAACACTGCTCTCCGGGATTCACCCTCCATCTGGAGGAATAATTGAGACTTAACCGGAAGCTTCATGTTAAGTAGAACCTAATTTATATTTAGTATTACAAACTTCGAAATTACAGCATCTGACTTAAACTCAAACTAATAAAAGCAGTAGTTAAAATAGTACAAAGCAATCAAGATTCAAGGCGAGATAGCTACAGAGTTATAGCACCTGATTGGTTATCGGGAGGTCCTGGGTTCAATTCCCGCTCTCGGCACATCTCACCCCGACTTTTCACAAAACGTACTAGCGGTACTACCTTACTGCCTTGATTCAGTGAGCTGCATGATTGTGACCATGCTGGCCAACCCAGATGAAAAAACAAAGTAATCAACTAAGCTAAAACTAGACAGTAGCTAAAACTAGACAGTAGCTAAGGATTAACTAACCTGTTCCCAAGTTTCCGTGTCTTCCACCAGGCGTTTAAGAGCTGAGAAGATAACAGAACTGTTATTCAACTTGTTCATGTATACTTCAGCTTGTTTCAGTAGTTCACGACCTTCGTCTCTCTTATCGCTGAGTAGCATTTAACATAAATAAGAGATACACTGGATTAGCACTAGCTTTGCAGATGTAGTCATATTTGGTACACCTCTTAATAAAGGTGCCTAAATAAAGCTGATTAAATAAAAGGTATTTAACGAAAAGTTAAAACTAGATTTCAATTATGTACCAGGGACACAAATTTCTAAAGAAAGGTAGGAAACCTGGTAGATTGTGCTAAGAAGAGCGCCATGTCACCAACAGAGACAATTTTTCTCACCAGGTCATCTGCCAGTTCAAGTGTTTCATCTGTACTGCTAGTTTCTAACTGCAGTGGGGTAGGTGTTAGTAGGTGTTAGTAGGTGTTAGTAGGTGTTAGTAGGTGTTAGTAGGTGTTAGTAGGTGTTAGTAGGTGTTACTGGGTGTTACTATAACAATTAAAATTGAAATTGAACAATTTATCATAAACGACTAATTTTAAAATGGCATTAAACAAAAAAAGTAAAAAGATATGAAATCCTATACCTGATGGAGTAAATCGTCACATTTACTGGTAACTAAAGTAAAATGATCTTCAAGATCTGTTCTATCAAGCCCGAAAAGACCACAATTCACTTCATCTAGGAGTAAAAGTATGAAAATTTGTTACACAACCATCGGATCAGACATGTCGAATAGTGGTGATGTAAAGATGATTGAGCGATTAAATTTTGAACGAAATTAGAAGTGCTAGCACTATACCGTTTACAGAAATCTGTTGCTTCTTGTTCAGAATATCCTCAATATCTGTATTGACTGGAGATCTGACAACCACAGTGTCTGAAAGAAGTTATAAGCATGAGAATGAAATCAGGTGCAACTCTAGATATATTTTTTAGTGTTAAGATGACTGTCGTTGCCCTCATCCAGAGTGAAACAACAAAATATTATGGAATGAGTTGAAGAAGAAACTTGTTCACTTAACAGTTAAAACATACCATAAAGAGGTTTATTGTTAACCGCTCTGTTCTCCACAGGTTTTGGGACCTCTAAGGAATGCTGAGAGGTAAGGTAACGTCTCAAAACATTGTATGTATGACGAGGAAGATACCTTATCATTTTACTGGATATTATCTTGTATCCAGCATCTAGTTCTGTGCTGACGGAATTCCTCGGTCTACAAACTAACCGAATTTGTGTTCTCCCATTTTACATGATACCTAGCTGGTGATAAGACACAGTTGAAATTTACGTTTTATTTCGTCCTTTCAAAAACGCTGTACAATTTTAAGAAGTTGAGTACGAAAAATACGGAAAAATTCCACAAATATTTTGTATCTAAATTTATATCTACCTTACTCGGGAATATTATAACCGGGATAAAGTGGTGGGTTTTGGAAGATTCCGCCATATTTTTCCCGATCAAAAATTTTACCAGTCATAAAAAAACCCGCCGACTCAGATTATGAGGTTCCAATGGGGTGGTGATCATCATATTTTACCTGAAGTCTCATATGTGCTAGAGAAGACTTTTGAAGCAGTGGATGGAGGGCTGTAACTTTATCGGCGGTTGCTACCATAATTTCGTTATAAAAATCAAAATTTGGTTATAGAAATCAGATTTCAGGGTGGACCGTGATTCTTACTTCTCTTGTCTCTAAAGATTGATCGCTTCTCGTGTGCAGTGTGTAGACTAAAGAAAGAGGGAGTTTTTCCCGTTAAAGTAACTTGTGGCCACATCCCGCTAGAAGTGAGTAAACTGTGCCACTATGTCATGGTCCACGGTGGATTGATTACTGGAGCAGTTGAAGATGCAAAGCCAAGACGTTCCCCAATACCAAGCGGTGGGCAGGAAATTAAGCTCCGGCTGACCTTCAGAGCAGTAGCCCCATTAGCGGAAAAAATGAAAGTCTTGTTAAGACAACAATACAACTTCGAATTTGACGGTCAGCAGCAGGGGGATATCAATAATGATAACGGAGGGGACATTAGCGATAATGATAATGAGAATACGCTTTAATGAAGATTTGACTTATTATTGCTTAGATTTATTTTCCTTTAAATAGACGTGTCTTTTTTTTCTATTTCTGAGTAATATCAATAACTGTAAATTGAAATAACTTCTTTAACAAGTAACAAAAACAGAAATTTCGGTTGAAAATTTGTTGACCTCTGAAAAAAAACTTGAAAGGTCGGCCACCGGTAAATACATGACCGGGATAATTTGGCGGGTTTTGGGAAAGTCCGTCATATTTTTCCCGGTCATTAATTTTCCCAGTCATAAATTAACCCGCTATAATATTCCCGAGTAAGGTATTATTTTCAGACAAGACTTCTAAAGTAAAAAATAGTATTTTATATTTCCACAGCTCTCAAAAAAGACTTCGAGTAAAAACGAACATAACGAAATAATTTCAAAACGTTATAAAATCAAAATTCTTCATTTTAAACTTAATGTCATAATAAAACAAATATAGGGATTGAGTGGGCTCCAGCATAGATTAAAAGTCAAAATAGAAAAAATTAATAAACGTGATTATCCCTTTGATGACAAGTCCCTAGATTATCCAATATCGGCTGACAATTCAAATAAGTTTATGTGATTTACAAAATTCCAATCTCATGCCTCCCTAAGTTATTGCTCTTCTCTTTGCAGCTCTTCCATAATATCTTCATCATCAGGCTCACAGTGACAAATGCTCTTTAATAGATGATACCATTGAATAAAAGGATCGTCCACTGAATAGTCCAGTCGACTTCTCAGAGATTTAAGATCAATGTTGTTGATGCGCTCTAGTTTAGGACAACTATAACATAAACTCGAGAGACTGTGGGATACTGAAGGGAAAGGAAGCAGTTCTAACGAGCTCTTCTCAAACACAAGGATATAACTTGTGAACTCGGCTAGTATATATGAAACATTTGTCATGGAGTTGTAGAGGGAGTTATGTGCCTCGCCGGGCTAAAGTAGTGGATGACCTTGCTGTACGGCAAGTTAAACAAGGATCTGAAACTACTAGGTTCCGTACAGACTCAACTCTGCACCCGTGTCAATATGTTCATTATATGCAAGCCTCTTGATTTATAGCATTGTTTTGAATCCTCCATCAAATATCTGGTGGTGTATAAGACACTCCAAAACCTGGAAATTTTCTGCGCCGTAATCAACATACCTGAACTCTATAAGTTCAGGACATTCTAAATTGACAATGAAACAAAGCTCATCCTGTTCAATTCTTAATTTTTGCAAGTTGTCGGAGCAAATTTCAAGAGGGTAAAACTCCCCAACTGCCAAGCGACGATCCCAGTTCTGAGCAAGATATAGCCCAAGAATCTCTAGAGACCTTATAGCAGTGTTTTGTAATAGCCTCCTCAGCAACTCATTCAATGTCAATGAGTTAGATAAATGACTCATTTGGAGGTCTCGTGCATTATCCTTGATTTCTTGTGTAGTTTCACATTCAATAGGATATGGGACGTTGTTAGGAGTATTAGTTGCCTGAAGAACAACTTTAGTTTAGTTAGGTGTGGCAGAGTCGTAGCAATAACATCGATCATATCAAACGTCTCTTTAGATCTATCTATGGCAACATGAAGATGGGTCAGTTCTTTTGACTTGGATAAGTATTTGCTTAGAATGTCTTTGTATAGGGGTGGAAGAATGTGGTCATAAGGAAAAAGATTTTCACCCCAGCTCAAGATTTATGCGAGATTGCGAGCCGGACTCATCGCACAAAATTTGTAAATAAATGAGGAAACAGAAAAAGTTTAACTTAAAAGTTGAGGGAATTAGGAACTTAACATGTATTTTATACTCTTAACGTGTATTTTATCACTTGTTTATAGCGTGAAAACTTCGACGTAACGCGCGCGAGATTTTTGCCAGATTTTTGCGAGTTTCGTTTAAATCTCATAGCTAGGCTCACGATATCGTGAGATTCTCCGCGAGATTTCGGCACCCTCTTTCAGCACTACATATTCGGTCGCGCGCTTGCATTTTCATCGCTTTTCAGCGTGTTTATTCACTGTACTGTCTAAGTCTTAAAGGATACTAGTTGTTATAAGATCAAGATTCACAGTGGTTACTATAGTTACCATGGTTACCATTAGAGGAGGTACTATTCCTGGCTATATTCTTTCTCAGAATATACTTGATACTGCCATAGGCATAGTGAATATTTCTTCATTAAAAGTTTGAGAAAGGGTCTCTTCAACTGGAGAACTGACTTATTAATCCTAGCAGGTAATTAACTCTGGATCCTCATCACATTGATTCCATTCTAAATTCTAGCCATAAACAAAACAAACATTACCAGATAACTCCGTTTACAATAATTTGACATGTTCCAGTGTGAACGAGGCCTTCCCCGGACTAATCCTTAAATGCCGGTCTTCTCAGTCTCTTAGTTCTCTAGATGAAGTACGAACAGTATAATCTATCGGATAACGTATATTACAAGGTGCTCTGATGATAATTTTAGTAAAATAATTAATAATTGCCAAAAGAATGACCGCTGACGAGACTCGAACCCGAGTCAACTGCTTGACGAGCGCGCCCTCAACCATCGTGCTACGTGAGGCTTACCATCATTACAATATGTAACATAATCATAATATAATTCATGAAAATACGCACGTAAATTTTTCGTTATTTATGGATCCAATAACAGTGACATACTTTTCGCTTACAAAGGGACTCGCGAAATCTTTTTAAATAGAAAATAATTTGTGGGGCAAGAAATCTTGCAGGCTGGGGGGGGGGGGGGGGGGGGGGGGTGGGGAGTACATTTCGTGAAAATCGCACTTCTAGTGTCAAAATCCAATCTCATCGCACTTTTTTTAGAATCTTGATAGGGGATTTTCACTGCTGTATTCATATAACACAAAAACGAGTTTCTGAAGCCGTGTAAGGCGAACCCTTTCTAAGTTTTTGAGATGTTCGCCCTTTTTATATTTCTGCAGGATCATGATATTGTAGGTTGACTTGAGAGATAGAACATATCTTCCATCAAGTTTTCTGAGGTTATGAGGATATATAGGAAGGATTAAACTTAGGACAAAGTTTCTACTAACAAACTCAGCAATAGATTTACAGGTTACTGCCATTGTACTGATATCTGAATGAGGCAGAAATGAAAATATAATCATAATCAATTCCTCGGGTAGACTTACAAAAGCTGATGTTTGGTGATTTTTGTTCTTATAACTTCTATACTTTAAAGTAACAGAATCCTGTGATACGAGCTGATCCCGCATTTGATCATAGTCAACTATCTCAGCATGATAGTCACGGTTCGGCACCTTGAGAAAGGTCGACCCACTGATTTGAATCATTTTATTTGTCACTGCAGTTCGCTCAAGTCGCTTTCCGTGAGCTCTGGACCATTCTTTTGGGCCAGCTGGTCGTCGAACACCCCGTTTTTTCTTCTCTTTCCCCATAGATCTAGACGATCAGTATCTTTGTCTAACTATTAAAATATATATTTATAATTCACTTTCACGAATCAAGCATGTGATTTCAGTTGGACTCATTTCGGCTCATTTCAAGATTTATTTTAATTGACAGTCCAGAAATTATGTGATCCTTAAAATATGCATCGATTTTACACTGTGAATTAAAAGTACAGTACAATT